TATTGGTAGTGAGGCCTAGCTCTAAAGCAAAGTGTTAAGCTTGCATATTAAGAAGCTCATTTCTCTTAGCCGCATAAATTATGCTTCACGGCGATGTCGCTTCAACGATGTCTATAAAGTATTAGAGGGAAAGTGTCTATAAATTAGTGAACTGTCCTTTAAAGTAAGGTTAATAAGTGTTCATCCTTTTGTGTCAGCGTGTTCGTGTAGCTGTTGACGTGTTCGTGTAGCTGAGAGTTGATTTTTAGAAATTGTGTATATCTTTGGCGGCCGCCAGGAATAGGGAAGATGACAGTGTATGAAAATTAAAAATTTAATTAGTCCGTCAGTTAGGTAATGAAAAAATATTAGACACATATTTTTTATTTTGTTGTATAATAAAACGATACTTAGATATACCGTATCAAAGTTTAGGAGTGGGGGCTAAAACGTCATTTCTACGTGTAAAATATACATAGAATCACTTCTATGACGTGACGTCACCGTCAAGCGACATTTCAAATCAATATATCATCGAAACTATTAGTTACCGTAAAAAATTAAAAATACGTGTGTAATGTTTTTAAATAAACTACCAGACGGACATTAAAATAAAAATTAGTCATCTACCTAATTGTATAAAGTTTTATTGCTAATGTGTTCTCACGCTGTCGCTGTCACGTTCTTGGCATACTTTTTATGGTTGACAATATTACTAAGAATACAATTTTGGATTGCTTATTGTCTTTTTATAGAAATAGATTGAATATTTTGAACAATATGTATAAATCAAAATACGCTTAATATGACAGAGGTCTATATTTAAAGTGAATATCAATTATTTATCCAATTGTAAAATGTGACGAATTTATTCATTCTAAATCTTATTACTAAAGCGTACAGATTTCGTCTGAGTAGTACCTATCATCCTCTCAGTAGCTACAATACTTTAACAGCTGAACTTGGGCCTCCGTAAACCAGTAAGTCTTTAGCAAAACACTTCTCCCATAACACCATGTTTATCCCAAAAGAAGTATTACAATAACACGGAAAGGCACGGCGAATGTTTCGTTCATCCTGTTGCCTGGCGCCCGGCGCCCCTGCCTACGTGCCCTAGAGGTGTTTACGTGTTACCCTGCAATCAGGGCGCCGTGAAGCGTGAATGTGTTATACTTGTCATCGACAAATTTGCGCGCGCCCTTAATAAATTTCACTTTGGTTTAAGTTGTAAGAAGAAGGAGTATTTGGAAACTATCGTATTAGTATTTTATGGGAGTGTGGGCACCAGGATTCATATGATAGATTTTGAGGTTTACACCAGAATGTGAATGTGTTTATTGTAATGAATCTCATTGAGATTCATTACAATAAACGCCAGGTACATGGTAGGATGAGATTATCTCATCAACTACATAGTACTCGTATTTAAATGCAAATACTTTCATTTTATAACTTTTAAATATTGTAATGAATCTCATTTAGATTACAATAAACACCAGGTACAATTCTAGACTCCGTACTGGTCACAATACAAGCGGTCCGTGCTGTATACAACTTTTCAAATCTTTGTAACTTGTTTTTATTACAATAGCATATTTTTATTATTTAAATTAACATTAAATTTCGTTTGAATTACAAAAATGTTCCTAACACGTTTATCTTTCCTAAATCCACATAACGTTAAGATAATCGCTCGTCGCCCCCTCTTATAAATTACGCCGAACAATCTTGGAAGCTTACAAATGTAAACCATTTTTTTATCGAAAGTAGGCACATGAAGAGAATTTGAGTCGTTAAAGAAAATGCTCGTAAATAATATAAATAGCTCTTTTTGACGCGTTTTACTTACTCGTGTGAGTACTTGAATATACATACGTACATATTTTCGCAATGTTTAACCTGCTTTCAAAAGAATGAGGTTCGTAATGTATCTCTATTTAATTCTTTTATACTTTTATTATAACCTTAAGGCGAACATGTGATTGTGATGACTTGTTTTTGTCTTGGTGTGGTAGGAATTATAATTTTCGAAGAAGTGTTACAAGTGCATTACCGACCTTTTGGGGATTAGGAATATGAGGATTATTGGGGATTCGGGGATTGGAGAGATTGGTGATATATTTGGGCCTCCGGTTACCTTACCCACACTTAATTATTCGTAATAGTGTGACTATTATGATAAATGAACCTTAAAGCGCTTTCTTCATCTCGCGCATGAGATTTCAGAAACTATTTCAAAGTTTATGCGGATACTACACACCCTTTGTTCTATAGAGTGGAACATAGTAACTCTGTATGAAAAACATACACATTTTCTCAAAGAGTAAGTTCTGACCATATAAAAAGGAGAGAACCTTATGAAACATCTCTTTTAAGGCTAAACAAAGTATTTGAGATAAGATTGATCACTTGATACAGACATACTAAGGATTTAGAGAATATTAGGCAATATTCTTTGATGTATGTAGGCCGGTCTATTTTGGGGACCTAGGTACATAGGTGTTCTTGATAGTAGGTAGTTTTATATAGCGATTGTCTTCGGTGGCCTTTCTTATAGAATGTCTTTGATTCATCTATAGCAGAGCACAATTAATTGAATACAAAATAAAATTAAAAATTTCAACAGTACTTATCGTACCTCTGAATCTAGATTTTCGTGTTTAGTAATTAGAATAGGAACGAGCCTACAAGACTATATATACTTTAGCCCACAGGCTTGTAATTTTCGATCCCACAAAAACTAAGTTAAAACAAATCGTGCCCCAAAATAATTAATCTTCCGAAACTATTTAAACGCAAACAATTTTCGGCTTATCATCTAAGAAAATTAATGTTATTTTTCTTTAACCGTAATAGTTACGATTAAGTTATTACGGTATGATTAAAATCTTACTTTAACTTGGCCTGGCCTCAAGTTAGCCGCAAATAAGGCCAATTATGCCCACTTAGGAGAGCTAAATTAAAACATACTTTTTTATTTGTAATCTCCTGCTGTAATAGTCCACTTAAACTGAAATGGATTAGCTTTTTAGTTAGCCTTAATTGAAAAGTTCAAAGTTAGTCAGTTTCTACAGAATTTTCTAGTTTTTTTTTTATATATATTGTATGTTTAGAGGTTATATAGATTTAGAGGTTATATCTCATTGGATACTTACTTTACTTTTTTTTGATAATTTCAAGAAAAATGGTTCATTTCTCAGTACTTATGGAGGCATTTTTGTATTTGTCAAATGTGCGAAGGCCCTGGAATTTTAGATACCAGGTATTTTTATTAAGGTAAAAGCGAGTATAATATTTTTTTTTTCTCTTTTGGCAATGTCTTGTTGCCTTATGAAGTTTTATATTACAGTATAATATTACATATACACATTACATAACTTCACGCCTGTTTCCCATGGGGGTAGGCAGAGAGTATGGAACGCCAATCATTACGATTCCTACATACCTCTTTCGCTTCATCAACAGTCATCAATCTTTTCATGCATACTCGTCGGTTAAGGGTACTTTTAATTTGGCCCTTCTTTAATATGTCGCCAATCTGGTCAGTATGTCCACCTAGGGCGCCCTCTACCGACGGCCTCATTAATATCCGCTCAGTATAATATTATTTTGTTTATTTTTTTATCCTTAGTACACTACATTATAAATAACCCTTATAACGTAATACTTTTATTCTGTTCATCATAAAAGTTACTTCGGTCATAAGAAATTTTTAACGTGTTTTACCGTAATTTTTTTTTATGTTTACAAACTTTGTTACAGTTAAAATAAAATAACTTTTTAAATAAAACTTGTTTTTTTTTAAGTAACGAGTTGGTAACTAAGTTACGTAACGGCTTCATCGCATCAGTGAGGTCACCGAGTGATATCCAAAGTTGGGAAAAGTAAATTATTTTGCAAAAATGTTGTAGGGTTTTTGATCATCGTCCTTTAGTATCACCCTGTTAGCAAAAGTGTAGTGACGAATGGCAGTAGTTGAATGTGAAGAGGAGGAGACCAATTGCATTGAATCTCAATGATTACATTATTTAAGAGGCCATGTCCAGTACAGGATGAATACCGGCTGGTAACAAAACTGTCATGATAATAAAATACATAGCCATTAATTAAATTATAAGTATTAGTTTTGAGTACTTTCTATAAAATTAATATAACAGCAAAAAATATTTAGAAGAGTTATAAACAGAATTTTTACTCTGAACTGCTCGTTGGTCGAGTGTTCGTTAGTGCGACTGTCGGGCAAGGGGTCTCGGGTTCGATTCCCAGGTCGGGCAAAGTTTAAATGGGTGTTTAAAAAAATCTTAGAAGTAGCACGGAGGCTGGAATTGTGTCTGGTATATGGCAATAGGCTCACCCCCTATAACATGGGGCTCATAACATACAATTAGCATCTAAGTGCCGAAATGTATACCTCTGCTTATCCGTTCGTGGGCTGTACAAGGCGTGATGTTATGTTATAGACAGAATTTTTATCATTTTATTATGAGACGCGAGTAATATTGATATAATCTTTATAATTTCATTAAAAAACGATGAAAAATCGTTTTTAATAATGATAAAATATTGTATATTGCAAAGATATCTGCGAAATAGTATTATTCTTTGTATTATTAAAATATGATTTAACTCGAGAAAGTATTTATTTAATAATATTTATAAGTGACGTGTCTATCAATTATTTTTCGAAATATTCCTGAAAAACATGATTATGTTAAGGTTACAAATGACTCATAATAAAAAAGTATCAGTTTGTGTCGAAAATCTACTGAATTAGTTTATATAAAGTTTTTTTTTCTTCTTTGGCAACCGAGTCTCCCAAACAGTGTTGTCTACTATACTGCCAGTGTCGAGTGTTTATAAAGTTAATTATTTGTTGAGTATATTGTGACATAACACCATTGTTACTGTTCTGTCAATTCACCTTCTTTTTTTATTATGAGTCATAAATCCTTTTACCATATTTATGATATTGCTTCATCATAATATCTAGTATCTACATAAAAAAAGCAAGCGTTACTGACCGATAGGTCACCCCCGTAGAAGGGGTGTATGACAAAGGTCTCGTTGCCGATGTGAATGACCCCTGACACTCCGTTGCACGTGTGGAATGCTGCTGACGCCCCTGGGTAGTCCTTCACCGTGCCGTGATAGTAGCAGTGCTCAATTTCCTGAGAACAAGAGGAGGTATTGTTATAAAGAGATATTAAGCTAGGAACAGGTATTATGATGATTAATCTGGTACTTCAAAGGGTTGAGTATTCAAAAGCTCATAAAGAAGAATCCTTATAGGATTCTCAATAGGTAGTGAATCTATTCTTAAACTAAAAATCTCGTGTGTTCTGTGAGTATTACTGTCATCCATTGTGAAAATCCTTTCAAAGAAGAAATTCCCACAAAACGTTTACATAAGTAGTTTCACTACAACACCACACACGGGATATAAAAAAGAACACAAGCAAAAGCTTTAACGTTGACATTCATTCGTTCCTTATTCGACAAATTCAAATTAAATTTGGAATACCGTTAACGCATTCAAAATTGGAACTAACTCTTTGAAAAAATCGAACGAATTCCTGGCTGTCAAAACTCGTGCCACACCAAAAAATGTCTGATTTACGCAGTGCGACAAAAACGGTTTAACTTTGTCCGTTGTTATTATCTAGCAAATTGCGTAAAAACTTGTCTACTTATCAAAGAAATTTATAAATGTTCAATTTATTAAATTAGAGAAACCATATTTACAAAATATAATCGCGATACGGGGTACAAAAGGCCGGATTTTGATAAAAAACCTTCTAAATATAGCGTGGAGTATGGTCGCAATATAAAAGTGTAGGAATTCAATAAAATATTCTTGTGGGGCAATTTCGTGCGCTGCGAGATCTCCTAATTTGTCATTCACGAGTATCGTCCTTTAACTGAAGGGAAAAAGATGCTATGTAAGTGCAGGGGCCTTAACATTAGCGGGTTTAGCTTACATGTTGTAAGACTTGTATAAGTCAAAAGAGAAGTCAGATATTTCCGACCGTTGTTAAGTTGATTTGTAAACTGTACAATGGTGAAATGTTGTGTAGCCTAGTAATCGGTTTTAATTTTGATGATATAAATTTTTGGGATTTTGCCCATGCCGTTATGAGCCTACAAATGTCTTGGCACAAGTTTTAAAATTTTAGTTAAAACAATTAATTGTATATAATACACATCAGAAAAAAAACTGGTGTGGGTATGTTTAATTTTTCTATATAAGGATAAAGCCCCTAGATCTAACCCATGAGACATGCATCGCTAATTTCATGGCCACCACGTAAAAGCCTCACTCGCAATTAGACCGCGTTCTTTTTTTCACTCTGCAGCGAATGGAACGAATGAAAGACCGAACCGCACGCTCACAAGAAATCGAAAAGGTTTTCATTCATTCAATGTGAATAGTACACTCTGGGTGACGTTGTTTTGACATTTCCCTTTAAAGAGCATTTTATTAATCTAATCCGAGATTAATTATCTTTCAGTAACATTTTTTGGTATTTTTTGTAAATTACAGGAATCCTGAAGACTGAATTGAAATAGGAATAAATAGAAATGTATTTCAGTTAGGTAGATGAATCAACAAAGAAATAATGTTTAACTGTAATTTTGGATGACATTTCTATGATATTTAACGAGTATTTTATTTTATCTTTGTTCTTCAAGTTTTACCAATCAGAAATTTCAGAAATAAAATTAATAAAAATATTATCCTAATAATAATATACTAACAGTAATGAGACGTTTCTCACTCGGGGAGCTAGTTATAACAGAATTCTTTCTCTTGGCTCCTTGAGTATCATCAATCATTTTCAAAAGTACTCGTCTCCTTGTTTTTCTTTTAACAATATCGCTTGGGAGACATAAAAATATTCTTCGGGAACAATTGCTAAAGTGGCCAGTCATTTCATAAAAGTCTTTGAGACGTGGAATGATAAGTTTAGTTTTATATTAGTTTTAGTTTCGTGCTAGAAAAATAGGTGAAGTGGTTTTTTTATGTCATTGTTCTAAATTGAGGCCATTTTTATAAATTAGGATATTTATTTATTTCTAGGTTGTTGGGCTATTTGATTTGTCAAATGATATGAAACTAATTAAAGTGTTACTGTAGTCGCTATTGTTAATTCTCTGAAGGTAATCTTTTTACGTTAAAAACAAGGAAAGCTTTGACCAACAGACGTATTTTTTATTCTGTGGTTGTTTCAAATGTACTTATTAATCCAGTAGAAAGAAAATTGAATTATGGCGATAAAAATTCGTTTTAACTGTTACTCCTTTCGATAAACGATAAACTAAGGGCTGATTTTTTAATACTCAGTAAATTTGTATTGTAACTTTAGTGAGACATACTAAATAAATTATTATGTTTTCGGCTTACTCACGTAGTAATTTGACGAGAAACTCGACTAGTTTCAAGCTATGTTAGAGAGAGTAGCAGCGCGACAGTCGCCACGTCGCGGGTCGCGAAATGCTGCTCATGAATATGAGCCTCTAGCATGGCTTGAAACTAGTCGAGTTCCTCGTCGAATTATTACGTGAGTAACAATAATTTACTCAGTAAATTGTTTTCAATTCTTTCACTCTAAAAACTATCAAATGTCAATTTTATTCTTCAGTTAAGATTTATCTGTTGACTGAAAAATCGACTTTAAATAAGATGGCACATGGATAGAATAAAATCATGGTTTAAGAGCATTCTGTATAAAGTTATCCAGAAAATAATTTCATGTTGTCACAGTTTCAGCGGCCTGAGAAAACATTTTGCGTCACGACCACCATTTTTCATCCCCTAAGTACTGCCGTGTAATTATCACTCCCACCCTCAACCCACCACACTGAAGGGGGAGGAATTTCGTTTAGTAATTCTAGTGTGTCATACTTACTCATATACGTTACTCAAGTTTATAGTGTATTATGTTAACTGTGATAATATTAGGACTTCAAATAGGATATTTATTGTTTTAATTATAATTGTTGTAACTAAATAATGTTCGTAGTTAGTGATAAGGTCCAATAGAAATATAAAGTATATGTTGAAGTAATATATTTTAACGTACGAAACGTAAGCATATTACATTATTAGTTTTTTCATCCCCGAATATACATTGTCACCTGTCGATTATCTAAGGACTACTAATAATGCACTGGAAATGATACCAGACAAAAAAGTTTCATTAAATCCCAAAGAGGATAATAAAATACTGAGTTCATGTTTTAATCTCGACAAAATCTGACGCTATCTACATTCACTGTACAGGTAGACGTCTCACAAGTAAATAATAAAATTACAAAAACGGCTCCCAATTCCGTCCTAATATGATTAACTTGATCATCAATTGAGCTGACAATTACGGGAAAAAATCCCAGAACACAAGTTCCCTGCTCATACTAAATTAGACAAGGTGTAGGAAAATTCAATCTAATCTAAACTTGCTTCAATCTAATTTGAATTTCCTCACCTTCTCGTCCCATACCCTCCTTGGATGGACCTCCTTAGTCCTCTTTGCTATTTATCCTAGCCCCACACTGTTGATTCACACGGTAGTCTAAAATTTCATAATCGGTATTGATTTCGTTTTATATTCAATAGCAACCTGAGGGCTTACTCTTGCCTACTTCTACAATGTAACACCCACTTTTCACTATTTATGTCAATGAGTCTCATGTAATAGGGGGTGAGTCTATTGCCATATATCTGGCACAATTCTAGACTCCGTGCTACTACTGGGAATTTTTTCAAAAAACTCAGTTATACTTTGACCCGAGACCCCTCGCCCGGTAGTCTTGCACTAGTCTAGCACTTACAACCACTCGGCTAACTCAGGCCCATAAACGTGGACGATACATTGTATGTGTTTATGTATCTCTGTCTAACCCTTCAAAGGTAGGCATGGCGTCCTATTATCCCGTGTATAAATTGGAAAATTTTACACAACAAAGCTTTTGTTTTATTTCTCATTCCTTTGTATATAAAGTCGGCAGCGGCATTGAGTTCCTAGTAATCCATCAATGCTATCAAAGACTCAATTTTTCATCCAACAACTGGTATAAACTAAAGGCAGGATTCATTGAAAAGGATTGAGTTCGTAGAAAACTCTATTGAATTTTTAGTTTGCTTGTTTTATAAGATCACTTTGAGTGGAACTTCGTCGGTCGATCAGTTTTCTTGAAGTTCCAATTCGGTTCCAAGAACTCATTTTTTTATTCAAAGTATTTTATTTCGATTGAGCCATAAACATGTAATTTTGAGACAATAAGACATAATTGTCTATCAGTAGCTTAATCCAAAGAGTACATTCGCATGGCAAAGAAGGAACCACACCTAATAACTTTAATATCATGTCTCTAACTGTTCCCTTATTAGTTTCTTTATATCATGTTAGCTCAAAAGACAAGCTACCTCGACGCTCATAGATTCACACCGCAAATACGAAATTGCATTATCCGAGCTCACGTACTCGTATCTAGTCTTGTTTGCTAAGATGCACTGCATTAAATGTAGACATTGCACTGAAATTACACACACCACTCACACCCCGGACTAAGATCACGTAGAAACATAAGGTAGAAACCACATACTGTCACATGTCCCTATCCATGAATGCTTTCAAAGTTGTCAATACCCATTGTCCTCCTACCAACTGCGCAATGGATGCCACATTTTGTAAGGGTTCGTGCTGTCATGCACAAACAAGCTTCCATGCTATTTCAAACTTTATTAAGTTAGCCATGGAGAGTAATTTCGTTTGTTGTATGCACGTCAATTCCGCCAGGTTGTGTATCAAAATGAGATTAAAGAAGGTATTCAGATTCGGGGCTTGAGAAACATTTGGTTTGACGTAAATTCGGACGGAGTGTCCGTAAATTTGGAATGCACTTCGACATTTAAGGGTCAGGTCAGTCAGAGTAAACGAAAGAAACTTATATTTCTCTCTGGATATAAGTAATTGCAACTGACAGTACCTACTCTGAAATCTTGCTATTGTTTCAAACCGATTTAAGATAATCAAATTTCTATAGTTAATTACTAGAATCTCTTATACTATTTGACTATTTGTCAGTCATTTGCAGAATTAACTATAACAAATTTATTTTAGAGAATACCTACATCAAAAATTAAACCACTATTTAATGAACAGAGACC